CTCCCCGCTCTCTGTCTCTCTCTTCTGTCCTTCTCCTACATACGGGGATATCCTTTCTCCAGTCACTTTTTGGTTTCTCAAATTCTTATTCCTTGAGTTTTAGGATTCCTCAAGCTTTGGCCATGCATCATCATTTCTTGGCATTCTGCACATGCTCCATGGTCTGACTTCTGCCTGGGATGTTAACCCAGGTGGGCTGCCTGTAGTAAGAAGCAGACCCCAATACATCAACCCCTCTATCAAGTAGAGATCTCTTTGAGACTCAGTATTCTGAGGCTTCGTTCAAGGCAGTGGGGCAGCTCTTCTCCTCAAGGTCTTCAGGGACCCAGGCCTCAGTTTCCTTGGAGGGTCAGAACACAATTCCAATGGGTAATGTTTGAATAGAGCTGAATCTGGAGCTCAGGGCTCTCTGAGAAGTTGGTGGAGCAGGGAGGAGGGAGGAGCTTGAGGGAAGGCAGAGTCGGAGTTTCTTCCAGGCTGTGGCAATGGTTGCGGGCTGAGGAGATGGAGCCCAGCAGAGGTGGACCCCTCCAGGACCAGGTGAGGGACCTGCTGGAGGAGGAGGCAGGAGGTGCTGGGACCAAGCATCAGGCCAGCTTGGGAGGAAGTGTGTGCTGACTGTGCTCACGGGATGTGGATGCTCTTGGAAGTGCGGTGGGCAGGATGGAAGGGCTTTGTCTGCTTCACTGAGTCATTTGCACCCAGAGTTTCATGGTCTGTGTCCTGAGCTGGGAGCGGCTTGGGGACGGAGTCAGGGGTTCACGGCAGCCCCCAAGCACATCTGGTCCATAAGCAGGTCCCCATCCGGTGTGGAACCTGGAGTTCTGGTTTGACAACATTTTAAATGACTTCATTTGGACCTTTTGAGTGATTTTCTTGTAAAAGAGGAATTTCTGCCTGTAGTTTTCAATTTATTGGGTCCTATGAGATGAAACAGTGACACTTTTTCTGGAAAGAGACTTGGAAGACGTCCTTCATTCTTTTAGACTAGAAAGTATATGTTTACTTCTCTTCTGAATATTTGAAAGTCTGGGTTTGAAATGAAGTATGTAGGAAAAGTAAAATCATCTCAGAGCATCCAAAGTACAAACGTATAGCTCTCGCTCCCTTTGTCAGGACTCCCTGGAATCCCTGTCTCTGTAACAAGACTTATCATCCTGTAAGTAATGGGTTTTTGTCTTTTTTCTTCGTGGGGCTATGTGTTCCTTGACATCACTCACATTGTTAACCATTTCTCCTGGTGAGCTCAGCCCAGATGGGGAGGCACCAGCCCCTCAGAGCACTGAGATCTATGAACACTGAGCTCTATGCAGATGATGCAGGGATGCCGGGCTTAGTGCTTAGTTGTGTTTTTCGATCCTTTGGACTGTAGCCCTCCAGGCTCCTCTGTCCATGGGATTCTCCAGGCAACAATACTGGAGCAGGTTGCCATTTCCTCCTCCAGGGGATCTTTCTGACCCAGGAATTGATCCTGAATCTCCTGTGAGTTCTGTGTTGCACTCGAATCCTTTACCTGTTGAGTCAAATTGGCCTCCTGGGTCATACTCCTTTCCTGTTTAACAAATAAACCCTGTATGTGAGGGAAGGTTTTGGTCACACATTTGCAGTCTGCAGGGCTCCTCCACCGCGTTCTCTCTGGGGCTGGTGTCTTCTGTTGTCACGATGCTGGGTGCTCGCACGGTGACGACGGAGCAGCACTGCCGGTCCGGGCCAGCCACCCCCTGTCCTGACTCTGGGTTTCGTCAGATTCCCCCAGGGTCTGCCTGGTCACCTACTGGGGCGGCGTCTGTCAGCTTTCTCCACCTTAAACTTACTCTCTGCCACCTGCCCGCACTGTGGTCTTTGGAAGGAAGAATGTAAAAGGATACATTTAAGGGAAGGGAATTGCATCCATCTCTTTTGTCCATAATAAAAGATAAGATCCACGAAATAAGGAACCTGGCTTTGTTTTTTGTTCTGTTTTCAGAACCTAAAATAATTTTGGGCAAGTAGCAGGCACTGAAGGGTAATGAGTAAAAGAATAAAAACAGACCACATTCTTTCTCCTTCCAATTAAAGGGAAAAAGCTACCTTCAAATGTAATCCTAAGTATGACAAAAAAGAGGAGGAAAAGAAGCATGGAAATAGAAAACAAATAGGAAGTATTAGCATAAAATAAAATGTTAAAACTTAGGGTTATAAAAACTTATTATAACAATAAATGTAAACAGATTAAATTCACCAGGTTAAAAAAAAAGAGATTATTAAATTGGATTTTAGAGTAACTCAGTTATATTCTGTTTCCAAGAGATTTCAGGGCATCATGGGGCATAGAAGATTGAAAAAGGTTGAGCAGGCCAATGAAAAGCAACAGTGTTGGTATATTTGCAGTAATAACAATGTACACATTAATGGAATTATAACCCCAGCTGTATAATGTTAAAATAAGACCAAAACCCCACAGAGTATTATTTAAGAACATACGCATATGCCATAAATGCATAAATAAATGATCAACAGATGATACACTTAGGTTACCTGGAGATGCTGGGGTGAGGGTAAGGTTTGTGACTGGGGAAGAATACAAAAATGTTTTCAATTTATTGATAATTTCTTTTATGATTCCAAGCTGCTTGATGGACCCGTTAGTATTGCATATAGTTTTATACTATCTGTTCCATGTTGAAAATAGTTAAAAATAATAAGAAAATCCTTCCCCAAATCTAATTACAAACAACTTCCAGTGCAGCGCAGGACACCATCACCGTGACAGTGTAGGTCAGAGGGCCACCTGGCCCTGAGGGTGATGGACAAGACAACTGAACAAGGTCTAGCCATGGTCTAAGGGAAGGCAAGGATGTTCTTGCTTTACTTGATAAGCTACTTAAACTCAGTCTCGTCCTCTGGGAAATGGGTGTGGACACAAGAAGAAGGGAACTGCCAGCACTAAATGAAGCAAAGAATGCAGGTAAGATGCCTGGTACATAGCAGGTGTTCGATGAACTGCCTCAGAATCTTTCTGGAAATGAAGCAGAATACAACTATCCAGGTAAAGTCAAAGAGAAATCAAATCCCACTTACTCCCTAAACTTCTGAGGCCAGGGCAGACCTGCCTCAAGGTGCGCACTTCCATCACAGCACCTGCCCCCGGGGGACACTGTACCCTGTTCCCCACTGTTCGCCCCCTCAGCCACTGTGTCCAGCACCTAGTGGACCCTCGGGGGTCATCTGGAGAATGGTGGGAGGTATGGGGATACTTGAAAGAGAATATAGACAGATCATGTAAACACTGCGAATTGAAGGGATCAATTTCAGCCCCTTAATTGTGAATCGGTAAGCATATAATGCTTACTAATGCTCAAAATTCTCCAAGCCAGACTTCAGCAATACATGCACTGAGAACTTCTAGATGTTCAAGCTGGTTTTAGAAAAGGCAGAGGAACCAGAGATCAAATTGCCAATATCCGCTGGATCATCGATAAAGCAAGAGAATTCCAGAAAAACATATATTTCTGCTTTATTGACTACACCAAAGCCTTTGACTGTGTGGATCACAATAAACTGTGGAAAATTCTGAAAGAGATGGGAATACCAGACCACCTGACCTGCCTCTTGAGAAACCTATATGCAGGTCAGGAAGCAACAGNAAACGCCGGGAGTTGGTGATGGACAGGGAGGCCTGGCGTGCTGCGATTCATGGGGTCGAAAAGAGTCGGACATGACTGAGTGACTGAACTGAACTGAATACTTCTAGACTTAAAAAGCTCTTTTTTGTCGGCGGATCCACAGCAATGAAATGAAATCTATTCTTTTCATTTTACAAATATTTCGCGCCTTCTGTATAAGTCACTCTGATGAGTAACATAAGGCAAAACTGATCTAAAGTTGGACGGTGTAAACAGGACACTTTCCCCTTTCATCTTACCCAGGTTTATCAAGAAAACTCAAACGGCCGCCCGTTTCCTTTCCAGCTAGTTCCCTCCCCAGAAGCCGGCAGGGTGGGGGTGGGGTCAGGGATTTTACAAAGGCCCAGGTGGCCGGAGGGCCAATCACCGGCTTCTGGGCTTCATTCCTGAGGCGGGGAGCGCGCTCCCCGACCGCCGGCCCTGGAGCGAAGGGACGAGCGGTGTTGATGGAGGAGGAGGCCTGCGCGACGCCCGCCTCCCCGCCCAGCGCGCCCTGTTCGCGCACAGCCTCGCTCGCCGCTGTCGAGGCGGGGGCTGCACCCCGGCGGCTGCTGCGGTCGCTGGACGCAAGCAGGTCCGCACTGCGCAGAGAAGACCGCGCGACTCTTCTCGGAGAGGCGGTGCGCGGCGACCCACCCCATTAGGATTCGTCCAGTCCCTGCGCGCGCCTCGACTTACGGGGGGCGGGGGGACCCCCCAGGGGAGCGCGGATTTCAGCCCGGCTGAGTCCTCACTACATCTCAGCGGCACCCTGCGGACGAAGGCGAAGGCGCAGAGTTGACCAAAAACTACGAGGGGAAAGCGAAGCCGGCCGGTTGAGGGGCGCGGCGAGCCCTCTCCACGAACCGCGCGCTGCGCTGCTGCGCTCCCGGCTGTGTCCCCGAAGGCGCAGACAGAGTTGACCAAAAACTACGAGGGGAAAGCGGCGCCGGCCGGTTGAGGGGCGCGGCGAGCCCTCTCCACGAACCGCGCGCTGCGCTGCTGCGCTCCCGGCTGTGTCCCCGGAACGCCGCGGGAAGGGAGACGCGCGGAGCAACAGGTGCAGCCCGCAGCCTCTCGGGGACGAGGGAAACGACCTGCAGGGGCGCGGAGCCGGTAAGGCGCAGAGAGGGTTCTCTCTTCCCGCAGGGCTGCGCCGGCCGGTCCCTCCTCCCCGGCTCGGTGGCGGATCAGCGGACGCCCGGCGCTCTTGGGACCGCCTCGCGAGTGCGGGAAGGTCCAGCTCCGGCTCCCGTCTGCGTCCTCTCCCAGGTGGCCTCGTCCGAAAAGACGGTGCCACTCGGCCCGGGCGCCTGGGTTCTGAGTGATCCGAGCTGGGTACCCCGGAGCCCCTCCTTCCCCGGCAGGCGCCCTTCGCCAGCGCGACCTAGGCTCCCCCTGCGCGCCATGGAGCTGGAGGCTGGGAACTTCAGCGAGGGGAACGCGAGCGGGCTCCAGCCCCCGACCCCGGAACCCAGGCCGCTCTTCGGCATCGGCGTGGAGAACTTCGTCACGCTGGTGGTGTTCGGCCTGATCTTCGCGCTCGGCGTGCTGGGCAACAGCCTGGTGATCACCGTACTGGCGCGCAGCAAGCCGGGCAAGCCGCGCAGCACCACTAACCTGTTCATCCTCAACCTGAGCATCGCCGACCTGGCCTACCTGCTCTTCTGCATCCCCTTCCAGGCCACCGTGTACGCGCTGCCCACCTGGGTGCTGGGCGCCTTCATCTGCAAGTTCATCCACTACTTCTTCACCGTGTCCATGCTGGTCAGCATCTTCACGCTGGCCGCGATGTCGGTGGACCGCTATGTGGCCATCGTGCACTCGCGCCGCTCCTCCGCCCTGCGGGTGTCCCGCAACGCGCTGCTGGGCGTGGGCTTCATCTGGGCGCTGTCCATCGCCATGGCCTCGCCGGTGGCCTACCACCAGCGCCTCTTCCACCGGGACGTCAGCAATCAGACCTTCTGCTGGGAGCAGTGGCCCAACCAGCGCCACAAGAAGGCCTACGTGGTGTGCACCTTCGTCTTCGGCTACCTGCTGCCGCTCCTGCTCATCTGCTTCTGTTACGCCAAGGTGCGGGGCGCGGGGCGGGTCCGCGGGCCCGGGGCGGCTCCTCTGTCCCCGCACCCCTCCAGGGCCCCGCCCCCTTGCCCTCGTCCCCCGCGAGTTTTCTGCCCGAGCCATCGCCTCCTCCGGCCGCGGCTTGGGCTTGCGCGAAAATTGCTTGGAGTTTGGGCGACACCAGGAAAGTTTGCAGGTCCGGGCGTCCGTCCCGGGCCCCGCAAGCCCTTGGCCTTGAGGTTGTCCCCACAGGAGGTGGGGTTCAACGCCCACTTCTCAGGAGGTTTTAGCCACGTGGCCCGCTCAGCCTGCATTTGATCGCCTGCGTGGCCGCAGCGTTACGCGAGCGCCCGGTCCTGCGGAGCGAGTCCTTTTGCTGGGTGGAGGGTCCGCGCCCCTCCGCAGCCCTCAACTGGGGTCCGATAGGGGGATTTCCCTGCCTGTAGGGTGCACGGGGCTGGGGCGCCGGCCAGGACCGGCTTTGTGAAAACGCTGCTCCTGGCGACAGAGCTTTGAATTTTATTTCACAACAGAAGTTAGGCGTCATAAATCCAAATGGTCAGAAATATTTCCTCACGGATTCTCCAGAGAACGTTGGATGGGTGGGTTTGCAGCTGCCGTTTCCTCATTTCAGTCCTTTGAGGAGGAGGTAAAGAATATTAAGTGGTTCAGGTGGCAGGTCTAAAGCCTCAGCTGCGAGACACACAGCTGACACATCTCTGGTCCCCCTACCCCGCAACTCCTCTCTGTGCAGTGCCCTTCCCCCCAGCTCAGCACAATCATGTTCTCTTTCATTAATAACACATGGTGTTGAAGATTGTATACTGATCTAAAAGCCTGACACCTTTTACACAACTTGTTTGTGTGTGTTAGTCACTCAGTCATATCTGACTCTTTGCAACCCCATGAACTGTAGCTGGTCAAGCTCCTCTGTCCATGGAATTCTCCAGGCATGAATACTGGAGTGCGTAGCCATTCCCTTTTCCAGGGGGTCTTCCCTACCTAGGGATCAGACATGGGTCTTCCACATTTTAGGGAGCACATATTATTTGCTGTCTGAGCCACAATATCTGCTTTATGATCAGGAGATGCAGTGGATGGGGTGAGACCCCCTCTCCCTGACACACCCTCCCCAGTACCATCGCCACTAGAGAAATACTTCTGTGACCGAATTCTGAGATCTGCACCATTTTATCATTTTATCTTCTCTCTCTCTCTCAGTTTCTTTCTGATAAGCTTGTGACTCTAGGACTCTGAATAATCAGGTGAAGTAGAACAGCAATCAGTTCTTATGTTCCACTCATCGTTTGTTTCCCCCAGCAGAAATGTGGACTATGAGCCACCTGGTTTTGTTTGCCCCTCCCCCAGGCCATCTATCTAGAGCAGTGTCTATTTTGAACGGTAATGTTTTTGGATATGATCTGAAAGAATGTCCTGCACCGAACGGTTGTGCATAAAGAGGCAGTAAAGGCAGGAAATCGGGATTCACTGTAGCTTAGCTCTTTGATAAATGGCTGGTTTATTCCCCTTGCTTCTGGCAAAAGCAAATCAAAGCTTGGTCTGCCCAGGGCCGTGGTCTCCTCTGTGCACTCCGTCACTTGTTCTGCAGGCGACCCAGTGGGTTGGAGCCACTGTGCATATTTTATTGATAAGAAAGGAGGGTTTTGGAGGAGTGAAGCCGCTGATTGTGAGGCAGTGATTGCGGAGCTGGTAAAGCATTCAGGAAGGATTTCCTGCAGGGCTTCCTAGCCCCCTGGGGGAGGTGGGCCTGTGGGGCATAGGCCTTGAGATTAGAGAGATTCTTTAAGTGTTTGGCTTTTCTTTCATCATTACATGGATTATACTTGAAACATATTCTTTCTTTGTTTCCCCAAAGTCTGGTCTTTTGGAAATTCAGGTCTTTTTAATGGAAACAACAAGATAAACTTCTAGGAAGGAACCAGCCTACATTTCTGTCATTTGAGACTTTATAAAAGTCACACCTTAGGCGAAGTTTTTAAATTAAAAAATTCAGAAAATACATGATCATTGGGATTTTCTTAAAATATGGAAATAGTTTGCTTTTAAGCATAACTGGAAATTCCTTTGAAACTCAAAGCAATATTTGCATATTCGTTCTAGGGCTTGAAGAAAGGTAAAGATTAAAGACTTCAGTTGCTGTCCTTTGATTCAGTCACTGTGTACTTTGCATGGAAGGGTTTTGCTACTTAAATGTTACATTCGGGATTGATTGTTACCCCAAGGCCCAGATCAAAAGACATATAAAAGCACAGTGTTGTTTTTTAAGTTAACAAAAGGAATTGCACTCCAGAGTTGCCTTCTGCACTGACAGTTTAGTAGAAGGTCCTTTGCACGTGCCCTCCCTGGAGACCCAGAATGCCAGGCTGGAGGATGACTCTGGGGCGCCCTCTGCTGCTGGGGGGCTGGCTCACTCTTCCTCAGGGCAGTGCTTGTCCTGGGCCCTCCTTGGCCTGACACAAGAGGAACTCGTGACCTGCCCAGTTCCTCCACATTCCTGGAGATGTCCTGTGCCAGGACAGGTGTAGGCCTCCTGTGCACACTTCTGAAAGTACGAGTGACGGAGAAGTGTCCACTCACCACTGTCATCAGCTTCTAGAGAAACGCAGTTATAACCCTTTCTCCTTTGATGCCGAGACCTTCATGGGGTCCGTCACACGCATCAGTGTGGGCCCGTAGTGTGTGCTCATGAAGTGGAGCAGAGCCAGGAGAAACACAGTTAGGCGTTCTCCCTGTGGGCCACTCTGCGACATTCCTTAGGTGTTTGTAGTTATGAAATGTGACCCCTGACTCTGTGGAAGGGCTGAGTGGCCCCAGGCCGTGTAATATAGCAGGGAACATCTGACTTTTCCACGTGGGGTCCTCTCCAGGCAGCCCTCGCTGATGCTGCCTTGCCACCTCTCCCTTTCTTTCAGTGACCGGGGTCCTCCTCTGACGGTGGGGAGGCTGTCCACAAGGAACCTGGCCAGGCTGGTCCTCTCCGGGAGGGGCCCTGTCCAGCCCGTTCCTTCCTCTTGAAAGTCCTCTTCATTTGTTCCTGCACAAGCCTCCCTTCTGTTGTTGTCTTCCATTACATTTTTAATACCCCAGTTGCTGACGGCAGGACAGTAGACGGACCCGTTGTTGCTGTACTGAGAGTGACCACAGATGTCCCCGTAGTGAGAGAGAGGCTTGTCTTGTGGAGGATGCTGAGCCCTTGTGGGAAGTGAGCAGCATTTCGGTAGAGCTGGGAGTTTGGAGTCAGAAATTCACACCCCACGACAGCTGCTTGACTAGGGTAGGGAATCGTGAAAGTGAAGTGAAAGTGTTAGTTGCTCAGTCGTGTCTGCCTCTTTGTGACTCCAGGGACTGTAGCCCACCAGGCTCCTCTGTCCATGGGATTCTCCAGGCAAGAATACTGAAGTAGGGTGCCATGGCCTTCTCCAGGGGATCTTCCCGACCCAGGCATGGAACCCATTGCAGGCAGATTCTTTACCATCTGAGCCACCAGGGAAGCCCAGGGAATCGTGAAGTGGTGGATAAATCCTGCGGCTTTTCCATCAGGGAGTGACTGATGACTCCAGAGTGTTGCATCTGCCCAGACAGAGTAGCTTTCGTAATACTAGTTCAATCTGATTAAATTATTTCCATGCTGTGGTGTTCCAGGGGGACAGGGAGATGGCTGGAACACTGTTTCCACTGTTTGGGGGGGACTCACTGAGCAATTGACGGGCAGTCTCAAGCCCTTAGTTACCCTGAGCTGATTTTCTTTAGGTTTTTCACTCAGATGGGACATAAGAATGAACTCAAGACCTGCCTGGTGTGTGTACCACCATCCTGATCCTGTTGTACAGCTTGTGTTGCAAACTCTTATGTGGAACCACAGTGTCTCACATCTTTTCTCCTGAGTATGATGCTGGCAGGAGAAGACAAAACTGGTGTCTCTAAGGAAGGAAGCAAGTGTCTCCCTAGAAGCCTCCCTGGTGGGACAGTAGTCTTGGAACCTTGCAGAATGGTGGACTGTCAGCCATCACTGTTGTTGGAAGGCAGTCTGCAGTCTTTCTACGCATCTAGGATTTCGCATATAGCAGGGACCTGGGATTGTGGAAAGGTAGAATCTTAGGGGAAACCAGGTGGCAGGGAGGCCAGCGGGGGTGTAGGTGTGGGCAGCAGAGTGGGTCTTTCTGGAGGAAAGCTTGGAGCTCCGTGCACCAGAGCTCTGCTGACGGGTGCTCCGGACACAGGTGGCTAGAAGACCGGACGTCCATGGCAATCCATGGTCGTCATTACTCCACCAGCTCCTGTGAATTTCAGCTTGCATGACTTTGTAAACCATGGTCTTCCCTTTTCAGAAATCAGGAAATGTCAATGCAAAATGGACAATGAATTTTGCAATTCTGAGGCAAACTGATTTTATTAGTTTGTGTTTTTCAGGTCCTTAACCATTTGCATAAAAAGTTGAAGAACGTGTCAAAGAAGTCAGAGGCGTCAAAGAAAAAGGTAAAACTCCTGGGTTTACATTCTCTGTGCCATTTCTGGAGCTTGGTTTAATGTATATTCTTAACTCTCCTGCATCCTCCTGTGAAATTTTGGTTCCTGGGTTCAGAGAACATCTTAGCTCTGGGGAGAGAGGAGACATGGAGAGATCTGAGCTGCTGAGAGTGGGCAGGTGACTGAGCTGCCAGAGAACGTGGGTGGAGGTCTGGGGAGGGGCTGAAAGGTGTCTCTTCTGGATTCTGAGCCTCTGGAGAAGGTGCGCTGTAGGTGACTGGCATAGGGTGTCAGGTGGCTGGACCCACAATCTGCTTGAAACTGCAGGTGGTGCTCATGATAAAGAACCCACCTGCAAGTGCAGGAGTCCCGAGTTCCATTCCTGGTTTGGGGGGTTCCCTCGAGGAGGGCACAGTACTCTCCAGTACTCTTGCCTGCAGAACCCCGTGGACAGAGGAGCCTGGCCGGTTACAGTCCATGGAGTCTCAGAGACACGATTGGAGCGACTCAGCAGACACGCTTCTTTTATTGTGTATTTACTGTCTCTGATGTGGTCCCAGGAGGCCCGTCTTAATTATCTTTCGAGCGAGCATTGCTGTATCCCTCCCTGAAGCCTCAAAGCAGTTGCTCTGCTCTGGTCTCTTCCTCCCAGAGAAGTGCTGACTTGGTCCCCTGGGGGCAGAACTGATGGGAGGGGCCCGAGGGGAGTCCAGCCCATCTTAATTGTCTTTGTCCTTCTCCCCGGAATCCCGATTCCCACAAGCTTCCTCTGAAGGGTTTGACAGCATCTAACATCCTGCAATTTATTATATTTCAAACCCATTTTGAGGACAAGCTATTTTACCAATCAGGATTAATTTATCTCTTACTCAGATCATATCCTGGAGAAGGAAATGACAACCCACTCCAGTATTTTTGCCTGGAAAATCCCATGGAGAGGAGCCTGGTGGGCTGCAGTCCCTAGAGTCACAAAGAGCTGGACACGACTAAGTGACTGAACTGAACTGAAAGATTAGTGAGCATTTTAACATTTACATTGTTTGGCTTTATACATGTATGTGTACATATGGGTGTGTGTGTGTGTATGAGGCATGTGTATTGTTGTTGTGTTAGTTGCTCAGTCATTTCCGACTCTTTGTGACTTCACGAACTGTTGCCCGCCAGGCTCCTCAGTCCATGGGGATTCTCCAGGCAAGAATGCTAGAGTGGGTTGCCATGCCCTCCTCCAGGGGATCTTCCCAACCCAGGGATCGAACCCAGGTCTCCTGCATTGCAGGCAGATTCTTTACCAGCTGAGCCACCAGGGAACGTATGGCGGTTGGGGGTTTAGTAGCTAAGTTGTGTCCGACTCTTGTGACCCCATGGACTACAGCCTGCCAGGCTCCTCTGTCCATGGGATTCTCCAGGCAAGAATGCTGGAGTGGGTTGCCATTTCCTTCTCCAAAGGGAACATATATATATAAATGCAATTCTTCCCAAGGGAAAGTGAAAGTGAAGTCGCTCAGTCGTGTCAGACTCTTCACGACCCATGGACTGTATAGCCTACCAGGCTCCTCCGTCCATGGGATTTTCCAGGCAAGAGTACTGGAGTGGGTTGCCATTGCCTTCTCCAGGATATGATCTGAGGGGGAAAAGGTCTCAGCATTTGGAGGAGGGAAGATTTTCTCTTCTATTCTCACAAGCTCTGACCCTTAATAACCACTGAACAGATGTCAGATCTCTTTTGATGTTTTTAATTACCTCCTTGTTTGCACAGAACAAATGGTTTGTGTATGTGCATGTACCTGCGTCTAGGCCAGGGCTAGCAGACAGGTGTGGGGAGTAGAGTAGGAAGACGGAACGGGGAGACGGGGGCAGAGGAGGGGAGGGCCCAGGGTGGATCGGCTCAGCTGATGCTGCCCTGGGTCCTGGCAGAGAAGAGTGCTCCTGGCTGTGCACACGCTCAGTTTCTGATGGATCATGGGGTGATGCGAGACGATCTTGGAGGTTTATTCATTTCAGTTGTGCCTGTTTCAGGCTCCCTGCCTCGGTGGCTGCGTAGAGCCCCTTCCCCTTCCCCTGTCCATCCATAAGGGCTCCACTTCATGTGAAGGCTGGTAGCGCTCCTGGGGTGGAGGGTTAGGTTCAACACAAATGTGCTCAACAGCTATCCTGCCTGTTTGGAGGAAAATAGAGAAGAGTGTGCTTTCCTTTGTCAAAATAGTAGTGACCACAGTACAGAGCCGGGCCTTGATTAACACTAGGCTTGGCTGGACCTAAAGAAACGTTTTCTGGCACAAGGCTGATCAGATAGGAAAACAAGATTCTTAAAAATTTCTGGAAGACTTCCCAGTGGGTTAGCCTTCCCCAGGATGGCTCCTGGTAATAGGGAGGTAGATGTGAGACCCTCATGGTACCTTCTTAACCACGAGATTCTTTTGACAGTGGCTCTTTTTCCCCATCTGGCTTGGAGTAACTCAGCAAGCTTTTTGGCTGTCATTTGTACAATTTACAAAATGTTTCTCATCAGTCTCATCATTTACTCACTTTTTCCTTCCCTGCCAAGTTCCATTAGATGGATTATGTGTAAAATTCTTTGAAGGAAAAAAAATCAGATGTCTCAGATGGCTTGAAAAAGAGCATCTCACAGGAAGAGAAGAAATTACTATTTTTCATACTTTCAGTGCAAGAAGTAAAAAGAAGGCAGGCTAATAAAAGGCCCAACCTTAGGTATAAGAATTCATGCAGAGGCTTGGCACATAACTTTCAACAAGGACTTATTCTCTATCAAACGGTGATGGTGTGGTTCTGTACCACACATGGACAGACGGGGAACGTAGGCAATAAGTTGGGTGTAAATCCATCTGTGGTTTAGGCAAATGATACTGTAAGAAATGAAAATGGCCCCCATCCCCACAGAGGGCCTCGTCTCCTCACTGACTGACTTTTCTAAGGGGAACCTTTCAGAGGAGATGGTGTGGGTCAGCCCAGGTGCAGTTAGCACCAAAGAAGCACCTCGACCCCCTTGATGGGGGCAAGGCCGCTTGGTTTTGTTATGGCTTCTATGGAATTCCTCACTGATTCTTTAAGCACTCATGAGCTATGCAGGAAGGCAGGTTCCTGGGTGGGTACGTCATCCGCACGACCTGTGGAAGCATGAGACCCCAATACCTGAAGTGCTGTGTGATGATGGCTCGCTGAAAACCCAGGTACAGTCGCTCAGTCCTGTCTGACTCTTTGCGACCCCATGGACTGCAGCACGCCAGGCCTCCCTGTCCATCACCAAACTCATGTCCATTGAGTTGGTGATGCCATCCAGCCATCTCATCCTCTGTCATCCCCTTCTCCTCCTGCCTTCAATCTTTCCCAGCATCAGGGTCTTTTCTGATGAGTCAGTTCTTTGCATCAGGTGGCCAAAGTTTTGGAGCTTCTGCTTCAACATCAGTCCTTCCAATGAATATTCAGGACTTTATGATGGACTGGTTGGATCTCCTTACAGTCCAAGGGACTCTCAAGAATCTTCTCCAGCACCACAGTTGAAAAGTATCAATTCTTCGGTGCTCAGCCATTATTTTGTTAGTACAGTGAGTTATTTTGACCAGATCTTGACCTTGAACTCGTATGTTCCAGGTGCATGTTTTCTGCGTTGGGGGTAGGTGAGGGTGCTGTTTCGTGGGTGGATGTCTTCCCAGTTCCCTGATCCTGGTCCTCTGACGTGAGGGAGACACAGGAGGGAGCCACACACGTCTCTCCCTGGGCACCTTGATGCGCTCCCCTAATGTGATGCTGTAGTTGGTGTGGAGGCCACTGGGGTGCAGGGCTGAGCGCCAGGGCCTGTGTGCAGGGCGCCCACTCCCGTGCCAGCTCGGATGGGCTGAGATGCCTGTGAAATAGGCAGAAAATAAATAGTGAACCTTTGTTGACACATAACTGGGAGCATAAACATTGTATTAAACAAGCATTCTGTTAAATTCTTTTGGGAGCATCATTTGATAAATGATAAAGTTTATGTAAGTACCCATTGATATTCTTACAATATTATTATATTGTAATCGTAAGGCACTCACATTCCAAAGCTACAGGCAGACCAAGGAAAGGAACCCCGTTCATGGTTCTGAAAAGACCAGTAGACCTGCTAAAAAGAAAAGGCAGATTTTGAGTGAAGTTGGGTAAATATACACAGTAACAAACCCTCCATAGAAAAGACACCCTGCTGACCGTCGCCCTACAGGGATACACATACAGTGAGGCTCTCATCTGTACGCTGTCGGGGTGTAGTTCTGCCCTCCACTTGTTCCTAAGTGAAAACCTCGTGAAAGCAGCAGTGAAACAGAATACCCAGAGAGCATGCGTTCTGTGCCGCGCAGAGATGGCCTTCCTGTCTTAGGGAGGACAGCGGGTGTGCTCCGTGCTCTCTGCAGGTGTGACTGCGTCTAGATGGTTATTGACTCGTCAGGAGCACAGCCCATACACTGCTGGGTAAACGGACGGACAGCAGATGGTCCTTGGCCTAGGGAGCGGGGCGCTGGTCTGCCGTGCGTCGGGCACACGGCAGCCTCAGTCTGTAACGCTGCTGCCCTGGAAACCCTGCCGTCAGGTTTGTACCTGAGTTGTTTGAAGGTGTTAAGTGGACCAGGTCCACTCAGAGAAACATCATGTTGGGTCGCCCCGGTCACAGGCCAGGAGGCTGAGGCACAGGGAGGTGGCCTCATTTTTCAGCATTGTAGGTGGATTCTTTACCATCTGAGCCACAAGGGAAGCTGGCCTCATTTTTCAAAGGTCATCAAACCCTCGGCTTTTGTGTGGCTCGTGGCACCTTCTGAGCACCCGCGTGGTCATAGTAAACATGAGCGTAACTCCCGTCTCCGGCGCCCTGACCACCCTTGCTCTGACCTCATCCTGAAGTCCGAGCGGCTCCTCTCCCACCTCTGCCGGGTTCCCTGGCTTCCAGCCTGCCTCTTGGACAAGCTTCCTCTCCGAGTCAGTCGGCTACCCCATGTCTTTCCTGGAAGACTGCTATCTTAAGCCTCACGTTCTGGGTGCTATGGGCTGTGACAGCCGGATTCTAACTCACGGGAAGTAATAGCAAAGTCATTGTGTCACATGAGAACATTCCTGCAGGGTGGGGGCCAGGCGTCTCCTGTGAAAAGACCTGTGGGTCCACAACGGTCTCCTGGTTGGGGAGTCCCTGCTCCACGGTGTGAAGCTGCAGGGAAAATAAGCACCTTCCTTCTCTCTCTCCTTCCCCTCCACCCTCCCTCCCTGAATTCATGGGTCCCAGTGGGATCGGGTCTCTCCAGGGGCAAAGTGGACAGGGGGCCACTGGGCCATGCTTATAGCTCCTTTAGGGGTGTGACTGCGAGGTGAAGACCAGCGCCCAGAGCAGGTTTAGGATGCACTTGATTCTGTGAAAACGCACAGAAAGTTCCCTCTGTCAGTGCATGAGCTGGAATGCTGGGTTCCTGTCTGTTGTGACCAGCGCCTCTGCTTTCTTCCCTTCTCCTAGACCGCGCAGACGGTGCTGGTGGTGGTGGTGGTCTTCGGGGTCTCCTGGCTGCCCCACCACGTCATCCATCTCTGGGCTGAGTTTGGGGTGTTCCCGCTGACCCCCGCCTCCTTCTTCTTCAGGATCACTGCCCACTGCCTGGCCTACAGCAACTCCTCTGTGAACCCCATCATTTATGCCTTTCTCTCTGAAAACTTCAGGAAGGCTTACAAGCAAGTGTTCAAGTGCCATGCCCGCAAGGAGTCACCTCTTAATGATACTAAAGAAAATAAAAGTCGACTAGACACCCCACCATCAACCAATTGTACTCACGTGTGAAAAAAGAGTATTATTTAAAAGTGTGGTATTTGCATGCATGTGGACCAGACACAGAGAAATACATTGGGGTGTTAAGCAAGGCAGTAACTTGCTATCTTAACAACAATTCATATTATATTGTTTGAATTCCACTTGTGTTTAAAAAGTACTTCGATCTGCCTAGAAAATCCCTAGGTCTAGTGAAGGCCATTTCTAAATTTTATTTTATTTCTAAATTCTATTCCATAAGCAAAAGATAAAAATATAGTTTTATACAACTTAAGAAATGAAAGTTTCTCAAGAAACTTTATTTAAAGACTGTAAAGAGTCTATAATAGGACTCTCTAGATTTGTATTCTTTGTAAGATAAGGAAGAAGGGCCTATCAAGGTGGTCAGGAATATTTGTGATCTACATCTTGAAGTAAATTTAATTAGAAAACACATTTGTGCTTTAGTTCTTCAAATTTAAGATCGGGGTAATATTGAAACTGTATGTGTTTCAGATACTATTATGGACACTTGATCCTGAGTTTTATTTTTGTGGACATTTATATTGAGACATATATATTTGATAGAAATAAGCTTATTTGCACATTTGCTGCATCTGCTCCCAGTTGTAAACAGTGCATTGGGCTTCTGCAACGTGCTGTGTCCATCTGCAGTCATGAGGTCTCTTAAGCTTATCTCAGGTGGTCAGCAGGGGTTGCAGCATGACCCTGAGGTGTCAGCTGACAAACTACGCTGTAAACTTAGTCTTCGTTGATATGTCAGTGACAAACTACGCTGTGAACTTAGTCTTCATTGAGATGACCAAAAAATCAGGGAAAACCACCACCTGTGACTATTCTCATGGTGGAAGCTGTGAACGAGTTTCTGAGAATGAAACTGGATGTTAAAAATTTACATATATATATATTGACACACACATATATATATTTTAATGTATTAGCTATACCTTGAATCTACTCAAAAGGAGAATTTTTACAATGTCAGTGAAGATGATGTACAGAAAATAATTTCTATATACTCAGAATAATTTCTATGAATTATAAGTCACATGAAATAATGGTCATGCCATGTGAGAAAAGTTAGTAAGCATAGTAAAATGTCTGGTTCAGATAAACTTTGAAAAAACAATCTAATGGTTGGACATAGCTGGGCATATTATGTACAAACAAATGCTTTTTTCATCAAATTTGTAATGATATCTAATGCATATTTATCCCAACTATCGTTCCCTCTAGAAATTTTAATTTGGGGTTCAAATCATCATAACAGTTTCAAATGTAGCTTTTGTGACAGTTTCATATTTAATAATGAGAAAACGGTATGAAAAGGTGAAATGATTCTATATTAGTAAATAATTTTCAGACTGCAAGACTGATATATATTAGGATGATACAAAAGCAAGAAAATTTTTTTAAAAAGGATTTTGTGTAATGCATACCTGCGTCATATGAGGACTTCATGTAAAATATCAAATTTTGGATCAAAAAGATCAACTCGATGTAAGTTTTGCATGTTAGCTTCTCTAGTTTGTGAATTTATTTTACTAACTATATTCCTCCAGCTAACAGTATTTACATTTGCCATGTTATAAATAGTTCTCTGGACAGAAGAGGAGAAAATTGTCAGAGAGGATGGGAAATCATGACTTTTCAAGTTTGATGGCCAGGGGAAAAATTGTACATACACCTATGTGAGTATTTTTAAGAACAAAATTCCTTCGCACAATTTTAGCACTTTATTCAGATATCGCAGCAGAAACATTTTATTCTGATGACGATACCGCATGTGTTTTGCAAAACAGGAGGCTGCCGTTGCAAATGTCAGGACAGCTTCTGTGTGTGTGGATTCACGCGGCTGTACAAAGAGGGCTCCTGCTTGGACTTGCTTGCGTGGCAGTGGTTCCCTGCACCGTTCCCCTTCCCGTTCCCACGCACACAAATGAAGCGTTGAAACAAACACAGTCGCCACTGCTGCTCTATTCGGGCAAGTGCTGAGAATGTGCTTGGACACGATGTATTTACCCTTGTCACGCCTTGGTCACGTCCCGATGCTGTCATCACTGACTTGCAGAACCCAAGAGTGCCCAGTGTAATCGCGGATTGCTTCATTTTATAGGCAGGTGGGCTCTTCTTCTGTCCATCGTCATTCTAATCAATTCTTCTTGTTCAGAGTTTAGGTTGTCTCTTCCTCTAATGAGTTTCGTTGGTAACAGATGTCTGCAAAGATGTAAAACTGCGTACAGTTTCCTGAGTGAGGGGTTCCAGAAGAACTTGTATTGCATCTGCAGACCAAGTACTTCTTGGGGCACCCTTGTAATCATGTGTAATTAATGGGGACCTATTCAGAGGCCCCATCCTTTCTTCACTGAATAACCCAGCGCCCCCAGCCCCACCCTCTTTCCCCTCACTACTAGCAGCCGGGCTAAAGGAGATACACTTCCCCGGTGTGCCTTTGAAGTCTGGATGCTGGGTAAACCTTGTTTTTCTGTGAACTTCAAAGAAAAATGATGCTTTCTCCTTAGACTTGGTTGCCCTAGTGGCCTAAGGCAGCTGTTATTTTTCTGGGCCTTTTGCTTTCTCATGGGGAGATGGCTCTGGAATATTTAAATAGCAGGCATAGTGACTTTCATAGGTATAAGCCAAGATTTCGGTTCCTTACTGATGAATATGGGGGTGCGGTTGAGGAGCTGGTCTTGTCTTGTCTCCTCAGGAGCTGCTGAGACAGAGTCTCTGCTGCTCCGACCACGTGTATGCTCAGCAGTGCGGGGGCTGAGCCCATTTCTGAGTATCTTAAGGAAATCCTTTTGCTGTAAATGGAACTGTTTTACTGCACACACTGGGGATCACACCATTGTTCCCCTCTCCTCTGCATCTCCAAGCCCTGTGTGCTCCCATCCTAACTTGCTCAGATCCAGAGTTCCTCACTCTGACATAAACCACAGTAAAATTCTCCCATCACCCCAGGCGTATCTGTGGAGAGATGTCTGAACTGCGTGACTCATGCAAGGCTAAAAGCTTCTTGTGACTCAACTTCAAATTGTGATCCTGAGGATAATTGCATTTGCTTGATGTCTCAGATACATTGAGATGGTGAAGAAATAATTCCTAGACGTTAACTGATATCCAAGGTCAGGTTCTGGGCAGGAAAGGATCCCTTCTTTTTTCACAGATGCCATACGATCCTCAGTGCCTATGCTTGAAGCAGCCTTACATCAAGGAAAGCAATGTATTATACAGCTTTGTCATGTTCTTGCTGAATAATTTATTAAATGTGTATAAGAACCACATAGCCATATAAACTGAATCAAGAGATCAAAGTGGCTACTTCTGGAAACTTAACTAAAATCTGTCAACTTCCAGCTGCACTGATGCAAATATCTTCCTGACTTTAAGTTTGTAAGTGGTTTTCTCTGTAAGCTAGTCATGTTCTTCTGGGTCATCAAAAAATGTTGCATATTAAGTTATTTGTCAAGCAGATGTTAATGACTTGTTTATCTAACGATGTATTGATTTAAATAATTTCCACATAGAGTAGGTAGCCTAAAATGCTGATGGTGACTTGTTATCTTGGAAAGAAAAAAATTGCAAAAGGGAGTTAATTTATGCTATATTTTAATATTTCCTTTTTAAAAATGGAAAATTGAGCCTTCAGAACCACATAAAAACTTCAGCATCCCTGGTGTGGGCTGGGTGTACGTCAGGCAGGCGTGTGCAGGGGAGCCTGCCGGACATTGTCTGCATAGCTCTGGGGCCTCTGTTTATTTTCCTGTGAGAGCACTGTATGGCTCTGATGGGGGTTTCTTTTTCTCTGTGGGTGTGAGTGGCCGGTGCACGCGCTCCGCCCTCTGAACCTGATATTCGGCCGTGGGCAGGTCTGCTCGTGTGGTGAGGTCTCCAGGAACGGCAGCAGGCCTGGGCACAGCCCCTCTGCTGGGTCCTGCACTCACGGTCAGGGTCCTCCCACACCTGTTCCCAGGCCTTGGAGATCCAGGTTCTGCCCCGGGGGCATCAGGAGTGGTGGGGAAGCCTCAGTGATGGGGAGTGGGTGGGGAAGGTGGTGGGTGACCTCTCTACTTCTGTGTACGTGGTGAAATACCCTTAGTCAAACTTTCTCTCTGGGTCTGTGAATGTTGGCTAAGTTTGCCGTATTCACACAATTGTATGACGAGCCAATTTTGTAGCTAAAGGTTTTGGTGTCACTTTGGGGTAGAAAGTTTCATCCTTTTTGGTCTCTTTTAAATTGAAGTGTAGTTGATTTACAATATTGTGTTAGTTTTTGGTGTATAGCAAAGAGACTCAGTTATACACACACACACACACACACACACACACACACACATATATACATATTCTTTTTCAGATTCTTTCCACTATGGTTTATTATAAGACATTGAATAGAATCCCCTGTGCTGTGCAGCAGGCCCTTGTTGGCTACCTATTTTATATATCTTGTGTGTATCTCTTAATCCCAAACTCCCAATGCCTTCTGCCCCTTCCCCTTTGGTAACTGTAGTTTTTTTTTAATTGGAGGGCAATTACTCTACAATGTTGTGTTGGCTTCTGCCACACAGTAAGTTTGTTTTGTATGTCTGTGAGTCTGTTTCTGTTTTGTAAGTTCATTTGAATCATTTCTTTTTAGATTTTGCATATAAGTGCTGTCATTTCTCCTTCTCTGACTTCACTCAGTATGACAATCTCCAGATCTGTGCATATGGCTGCAAATGGCATTTTTTCATCCTTTTTTTTTTAATGACTGAGCAGTATTCCACTGTATGTATGTACCACATCTTCTTTATCGATTCATCTGTCGAAGGACATTTAGGTTTCTTTCATATCTTGGCTGTTCTGAATAATGCTGCTGTGAACACTGGGGTGCATGGGTCTTTTTGAATTAAGAGTTTTCTCTGGATTTACACCTGGAGTGGGATTGCGGGCTTGTATGCAAGTCCCATTCTTTTTGCTGGGGAATAGTTTTCTGAGAAGCTCAGGAAATTGGGGGCTGTGCCCCCAGTTCTCAACATTTTAGAGAAGCCACTGGCCACTGGCTGCTGGAATTAATGGGAACTGGCTTCTGCCACTTAGACTCTTAGGTAGTAGTGACCAGCAAGGTGACTGAGGGCTTGGGAGGAACCGTGCAGTCTGCTGTTGGTTTTCTTTGTGATGCCACTTTCTTATTTCAGAAGATCAGTTCAGTTCAGTCACTCAGTCGTGTCCAACACTTTGTGACTTCATGAATCGCAGCACACCAGGCCTCTCTGTCCATCACGACTCCTGGAGTTTACTC